GTGAGCTCTAGAGACAAGTTGAGCACTTATTTACGAAGGGTCTCACACAAGAAAGTCTTAATTTATATATGATTGTAGCTTTATTAACACCTAAGAAATTTGGCACAATGGTGGAAGTATTTTTAATAATCAGACCATTAATATAATCATGATCAAATATAAATTTATTATTCCTCAATTTAATGACTTGTTATATTTGATCTGAGGGCCGCCTATTTTTAAAACTTAATATAAGAAGTGGCTATCACAAGATTAAAACTAATTTAGGAAAAGAATGAAAAATATTTTTAAAACATCTGTTCCACTCTATAAAAGTTCAATTCAAGTTGTTAGACCTACTTAAATTCCCAAGACACACCAAGAGGGGGGTTAACTGGTGTTCTAAAATTTTATTTTTCAAAAATCTCTTTTGAAAGTTTAAACCAAATTCACAACATAAGTTCAAAATCAAATCTTGTGATGTGGAAGCTAATTATATTAAAAAACAAATACTTTTATTTTATTATGATTTTGCAAAAAAATAAATATGAAAATATATTTTCTTCACTTTTTATTTTGAGATTTTAATTCTTTTTCTTTTCTAACAAAAGTAAATAAAAAACAATCTTCATATTCTCAATTCACATTTGCATTAAAGTAAATATATGAGAAATAAAAATATAGAAATAAAGTGATAAAAAGAAACAAAAACAAGCACACCAAAAATTTATAGTGGTTCAATCAACCTTGACTTGCATCCACTTTTTGGAGTCCTCTGATCTAGGTATTACACTAAACCTTTAGTGACTCTCATTTAGTTCCTACAGCAAGACAGGGAATCCCTTAATGAATCACTTCCACCTTTCCACTGTGAAGTTAAGAATATGAATCCTTTCCAACCTTCTGGTGAGGTTGAGAACTTGGAATTCTTTTTACCCTCTTGAAGTAGAAGAGAACTTGGAATCCTTTTCACCCTCCTTATGAGGTAGAGAACCCGATAATCTTCAGCCTTGAATACTTTCTCCCTAGAGCAATCCAAAAGATCAATGAAGACACTTGGAGGAACCAAGATAGAAGTTTATTTGGATCAACTGCATGAAGTTCCTCACACTACTTCTCCCTCTCACACAACTTCTTCTCCCTCTCCAAACTCCAAGACCTCTTATGCACTCTCAAAGAAATCTCACAACAGCCAAAGACTTTCATGAAGTCTAATGCGAGGCTTCAAAAAATTCTAAATTTTTAATTATGCCATTTATAATCATACAGTACGATCAGGGATCATATAATAGGATTATGTTAATATTTCATCCTGTTAGTATTATACGATGTACAAGGGTATGCACGATTAGTTCAAATACTTGAATTGATCATCTACTACAATATCAAATGTCATATAATATGATTAGTTCAATTTAATAGGGTTTTTTTATCGGATGATTGATTGAGATTAGTTATTATCCTCAGAGCAAATCAGGTTGTACAGCACGATGTAGGCCATCACACAACACAATCAAAAGTATCAAATAATCCTAATTTGAACACCTAATTACTGTATTAGATTAGTCAATATTTAATTACATCATATTATACAATAGGGATCGTATAATATGAATAGATTAAAATTTGAAATTCAAAATATTGCTTAATTTGTGATTGGCGGCATGGGTTTTAAGTTCTACTAATCATCATTTACAATTTAATTGGGATCATACAGTATGATTATTACATATATAGATAATCTTAATTAAATATTTTAAATAATCCCTAGTATACTCTAATCGTACAATATGATCATATCATACAATACGATCTTCATAAAAATTAAAACATTTAATTTTCCTATATGGTGCGTGTGTGCTCGGTTGATAAGTTGACATACACCTTTTATAGGACTTTTGACTCAATAAGTATAAAAATAAATAAATCAAAATATAAACTCTTGCAAAAATATAAATTATATTATATCCATTCTTGAGATGAGCCTTTTGCACGGTGTACGATATACCTGAAATGTTAGTGTGCACACAACAAATATCCAATAAAAATATCAGGAGGACCAAAGTAGAAACCCAATGATATTTGTTATCATCAAAATCATAAGCTTGAAATCCTAGATTACAACATGTTAGTGATATTATTTATGAGTTTAATGAACAATGTCTTAAAACCCATCATATAAAAGTTATTAGTTGTTAACTGTAATGGTTTTTTAATTTCTAGCCCAAGTGAGAGATGCCACCTACAAAACCTTAAATAGATCTTTAAATTGGTTAAGAATAGTTATACAACAAATTGAAGATGTTTTTTTTTAATAATTGGTGTGATTTTTCTTTGACTCGTTGTTTCCACTGGAATCAAACCTAATCCTTCCAAACTTCATGCTCTTATTATTTCTATGAAATATTTATTAAGAACTTTAGCATCCCCAATCACTAATACTTTGAAATTGAAATTTTGTTTTGGCTTCTACAACACAAAAGGCCTTAAATCAATTTTAGATTCTAATTTTCACTACCCTTGTCCTTAGACCAACTAATTTTTTAAAATCTTCTAAAGTAACCTATGATGCTTCTAGAATTTGAATTGGGAGAGCCCTAACTCAAAAAACTATCTAATAGTATTTTTTGGTGAGAATTGAATGATGTAAAATAATGATATTCAACTTATGATTGGAAATTTAAGGCTATTATCCAATTTTTGAGACACTAACATCACTACCTTCTACATAGAGAGATTATTCTAAACTCAAGTCATTATGTTCTCAAAATCATCAATAATCAATTCAATTAAGTCATAGATATGTCAAATGGGTTAAATTCCTCCAAAATTATTATTTTATTTCCAAATATAAATTTGGAGTTGAAAAAAAAAACTTGTCAATGCCTTGTCTAAGGTAACTTTAAAAAAATCACTTCTTTAGAACTCAAAGTTCCAATATATAAATGAATTAAAAATGATTACTTTGTGTGTTCTGACTTTCATCTAATTTACCTTGAAAGCCTTTAGCCAGCAAGTTACATTATCAGTAATCAACAAGTATTTATATCAAGGAAAACAACTATATATTCATGTAACATTCTTGTGCGAATTTCTAATATTACAATTCCATTATGAGGGAATAAGGGGACTTTTTGGAAAGGAAAAAAAGTATTTGTTTGATGAAAAATCAAATTTTCTATCCATCTCTTTAGAATAATATTCAATAATTAAGGACCCAATATTTGACTTATAAACAAGCTAAAGCAACCAAATAAAATTTTGGTCAATGCATTGCCTTACCTATTCTCCATAGGCTTTAAGAAGATCTATCAAAGTATTTCATCTTATGATGGCCTTCCATAACTCAAGAACATCGTAGAATTTTTATGGAATTTGATAAATTCTATAAGATGGCCCCTTTTTCCTTCCATACTTTAAAATAAATGATTCCTCTCATATTATTAGATTATTTTTTAAACAGATTATTCATTTCTATGGCCTGTCATATATCTGATCGAGATGTTAGATTTATTTCACATTTTTGAAAAACTTAGTAAATATTTTTTGGAACAAAAGTGAAAATTTCTTTTGCTCGTTACCCTCAAATAGATAAGCAAATTGAAGCAGTGAATTAGTTTTTAGGTAACGTATCAAGGTGTCTTATAGCCAAAAGTTAAGAAAATTAGGGTTTATATTTTCCTACCTTTGAAATATCATATAATAGTGTTATTTCTAGAACAACTAAGACCTCACCTTTAGGAGTATATGATTAAATTCCCTGAAGATATATTATTGCAATCAACCTCATACCTTCATGCTTTCTCTGATTATACATGTTTATTTGTCAAATATTTTTAAAACCTCCAAGAAACTATAAGAAAACAAATTACATCAGGTAATGATAAATATTCTTAAAATCCAAATATTGATAGATTAGTAGAGGAATTTAAATAAGGAGATTATTATTGATTCACATCCTCTCATGAAAACCTCCATTGATAGATGTACAATACATGTTGCTCTAATGATCCATGTTTAAGTTGCAGACTAGGAAAACATGGTGTGTCAGGTTATCTTATTTTAGTTGACATCTCTCTTGATGCTGTTCAAACTCTTGCTTACGTGATCTTCAACTAATAATCATTAGCACTCCCTAACTCTATCTTTAATGACCTTGTTAGCTCATTCTACTGATGGTTTATTGCTTATAGTGCCATGCTCGTCCATCATTATCCTTGATTTGCACCTTTGGTTTAACATTAATACCCCTTAATCTTTTTGAACAGGGGAAATAGACAGATTCAACGACTTGTTGAGATAAGGGTTGAAGAGTAAGAGAAAAAGGGAGGAAGGAGGAGGAAGCAAACACCCACATATAAAAGTAGAAAAACAAAAGACTTTGAGAATCAAGGAGGTGAACTATTTTTCTAGAGATATAGTGCATTTCTCTTCTTATCTATGAGAGAAATCTTTGTAGCCCAAACTATAGGTACATTTTCCTCTTGCTCACAAGTCTTTTAACTTGTGCTTTGATTAATATCTCTCGATCATCACACAGTGGACACATGTTGCTTGATTTAACTACTATAAAACTTTTGGTCTCTCAAATCTTTGATAGTTTGCCAATCTACGTTTCTCTTGAATCTCATTATTTGGAACTCTCTCTCGTAAAATAATCAACTTGGGCGACATATTCACTTATCTCTTTGTAAACTGTTGATGCGTATACTCCCCATTGCCACAATGACTTGGTTAATTTTCTCCGTCAAAAAATTGGTGCTACAATTTTGTTAGCATATGTGCATGTTAAATATTCATAAATTAAAAATTTATTAATGTTTTTATTTAAGACACTTCTGCTCAAAATAATGTACAAGCCTTTAGTTTTATTATTTATTAAAATTTTATTGTAAAGTACTTGCATGATAAAAGAATATTTTTATTGGCTTAAATAAATTGGGAAATTAAAATAATTATTTCTCATAAATTTTTTCTTTATAAATAATTACTATCAATAAATAAACTTACTTTCTAGTAAGATGCGCGGAGCGTTGGGGCCGAGGCAATGGAGGAGACTGCCTCGATCACCTCCGCTTCCTCTCACCAGCTCCTTGCGGAAGAAGCTTCGGCTTCCGAGGATCCCTTCGAAGAGACTCTTCATCCGTCTTGTCGTTGTCATCGTCCTCATTGCTTTTGTTGCTCCCGTATTCTTCCATTTCCGCCTGCGCCGATTCCACCAGGCGAGCTTCTTTTCGATCCTTTTTCGCAAGCGCAATCACTAATCTCCTCCTTTCGTTTCATTTCGGTTTCTCTATCTTCCGTAGTAGGACTGATCTCTGCGACCGGATTTTTGTTGTATATAATCTGTTGTAACCCTACATTTGAATTTTCTATTATTGCGATTGATGCAGATGCGAATGCGAAAGTGCCACTGGCTGGAGAGTCCTCCGCTTGTTTGTGCACACGGCGGTGATTCCAGCCGGGCAGCGCCCAACACAGTAATCATTTTTAATTCCTGCTGATTTCTCAAAACTCTTAAAAGTGTTATTGCTCCGTGATGTTAGTTTCATCTACTTGCTCGTTCATTAAATCTACAGTGAGGAATCCTAAACTTGCTGTTACAATCGCTTGCTTCAGTAATTCCTAATGCTCATTAATCTAGGAAGGCTTTGATGGAAGATGAATGAGAAGTATGTGCAGGCAGTGTATGTTAAAGTTGTTTGTAGCAAGTGACACACTCTCGTAGATGATCAAAAGGAAAAGCTAAAAGGCACAGTTTGAATGTGTTGAATCATTCGTAGTATGGTTGCTTGGGAATCAGGATATGATTAAGCCATAACAATAGAAGTTGTTACCGCCAAATCAATCTTTTGCAAGCCCAGTCCTATTATTTCATATAGCCTTGGTGACCATGTTAGTTTTGAAGTCCTTTAAACGATGAGTTGAAGAATGGATTAAAGATAATTTATATATTGATGTTTTTAAATGTTATCATTATGTTCATACTCTACAAATTTGCTGTAAAATAGACAATGATGTAAGCGCTTGTGCAGTCTAACTTTGATTGAATATCTCTTATGGTTTAAAAAATCCATAAAATCTATTATTTAGAGTTGTGAGCCTCTGAATTCTTCCCTTGTTTTTATTTACCAAATTATCACTCCATCTATAATTATGTTTTTCTTAATATATCATGGTGCTATAAGTTGGTCGTCATGATTTATTTTGTTTCCATTGTTGCTTAAAGAACATGATCATTTCTCAAGGATGCTACACCATATTACATTCATGTATGCAAAGTGCATTCGAATGTTATTGATATGTCACCAAAAATCACTTTGATATGGTACGAATCTCTAGGCATATTTGAATTGGAAACTCCTAAATTTAAATTTGGGACCATCCAAGCTCTGATTTCAGCAAACATACATTCAAACTAAACGTCTCAACAAGACGAACCCAATTACATTAAAATCGTTCCTATCCGAGTCCAAATGGGCTCAAATCAAGGGTAGCTTCAAAGCATTTATTGGGTAACCAAATAATTTCCAAATATGACATGCTTATGGTCGAATTAAGCGGTTTGACGAGATGAATCCAATAAATCCAAGATTACTTAATTATAACATCATTAAGGCATTTAAATACTTGACCAAAGATCTATGATCGAAGGAATAAATATGGATCATTTGATGGAGCACTCTGAATTTGCTCTAGATTTTCACTATATTTACGGAGCATGCCACTCCCAAAAATCTATAAATAGGCCTTTATTCTTCACATGAAGGGAGGAGGAAGGAGACTATGGAGAGTTCCCTGTATTTTTCATCTATTACCGTTGACAATCACCACAAGCTATCGCCACCGATGATCATCATCACCACCGACGATCGACATTAGAAATCACCACCATCTCCAGAATACTAACAAGATTTAACCTTGTTGGGTGTATTTGTTTTCTTGTGGACAAAATTAAGCCCTTTTGTTGGATATATAATTATTTTAATCAAAATTTCATTAAAATTTCATGTCATTAAGTTGAAAATCCAAGAATGGTTTAGCCTTCTAGTGTGAAAAAATTCAGCATTTTCTCTCTCCACAAAATGTCGGGCCTCCTCTCTTTGAAATGTCATTCTCAAGCATGAGAATTTTGGCCAAGGGAGCTTCCTGTCTCTACTTCATTGGTGGTCCCTCGTGAAATAAGAAATAGTTTGAAATTTCAAATAGAAGAGGTTATTTCTTGAATAAAGAAGGGTCCATAAATGATGGATTTTCAAATTTAAAATTAAATTATATTCTCTACCTTAAAAAAAGCTTAAATTAAGGAGTTATGCTAATAAAGCATTATTGTAGGCAATTTCAAAGTTCAAATTAATCAGCACCCTCTCCCTTAAAATGCTGTTTAAATTAAAGAGTTGTGCCAATGATGCATTATTGGAGGCAATTTCAAATTTCAAATTAAATAACACTCTCTTCCTTAAAGTAAGGTTTAAATTAAGGAAGATATACATCTATTAAGCATTATTGGAGGTAATTTCAAAATTCAAACTAAACAACACTCTCCTTGAAGCAAGGTATACATTAAAGAGGTCTTATACTAATGAGGTATTATTGAGGATTATTTCAAATTTTAAATTTATAGAAGATATGATCGCCCCTATGAAGGAATTTATTAAGTTATTTTGTTCTTGTAATTACTATGTAATAGTTATAAATATGTGGTGATATTATTATAACAAAAAATAAGCTTAAATGAGATGTTTAGGCATTTTTTGATATAGAATATGATGCAAGTTTCAAGGTATTATATCTGTATGTCATCAAAAACTTATCTTGATCGGGCACGAATCTCGATGCAAAATCAAGTTGGAAGCTTCCGAAATTAAAATTGGGACTATCCGAACTTAGATTTCAACAAACTTATAGTCGAACTGAGCATCTCGAGAATACGAACCCAACAACATCAAATTCAACCCAATTCGAGCCCAAACGGGTCCAAATCAAGGGTTATTAGCACTGTTGAAAGGTTTGAATCACAATTTGGATTACCAAACGGTTTCAAAACTTAACATGCTTGTAGTCAAATCGAGCGTCTCGACGAGATGAATCCAACGAGCCCAAGATCACCGAATTCCAACATCACTAAGACATTCAAATGTCCATCAAACGGTCCATGATCAAGGGATTCAACATCGGCCGTCCATCTAACTACTCCCTATTTATCCTTGATCTCTCACTTATTTACGGGTCATGCACTCCAGAAATATATAAATAGACACCTCATTTCTCTTGAAAAAGAATCCAAGCAAGAAGAGAAGGAAGAAGCTCCTCCTTGACCACCGCATGAGTTCCGCCGGACCACCGCCTGACGTCGCTGCTCCTTCGGACCACCACTTGAGGTCCTCACTCTTGCCGGATCATCGCCTGAGGCTCTCACCCTGGCTGGACCACCGCCTGAGGCCCTCACCTTCGCCGGACCACCACCTGAGGCCCTCACCTTTGCCAAACCACCACGTGAGGCCCTCACCTTTGCCGAACCACCACGTGAGGCCCTCACCTTCGCCGGACCACCACCTGAGGCCCTCACCCTCGTCGGACCACCACATGAGGCCCTCACCTTCGCCGGACCACCGCATGAGGCTCTCACCTTTGTCGGACCACCACCTGAGGCCCTCACCCTCGCTGGACCACCGCTTGAGGCTCTCACCTTCGCCGGACCACCGCCTGAGGCCCACACCTTCGTTGAACCACCACTTCAGGCCCTCACCTTCGCTGGACCAGCACCTGAGGCCCTCACCTTCGCTGAATCACCACCTGAGGCCCTCACCTTCGCTGAATCACCACCTAAGGGCTTGGACTCCACCAGACCACCACTTGAGGCCCTAAAAATCCGTCAAACCATTAACTGACATCAGAGTTCTGCCAAATGACTGTCAGACTACTAATTGATGCCCTAACTTCCATGTGATGTTAGATTTAACATTAGACTTCAACTATACGGTTGACATTTGTAATCTGATCGCCCTCAAGGACGAGCCAGCCCACTGTACTCAACTCAAAATCCAGTGAAATCTTTTCAACTGGGCTAGGCCCCATGGTTTTTCCCCTTTTCAAGGTTTTCCACGTAAAAAATCTTGTGTTCTCTGTGTGTGAGCTGGATATCTGTGCAGCACTAAGACGTAGAATTACAACTCTATCGTCATGTATATTATAGTTTGCAACAATATCTATGAAAAAGAGAAGGTCTATTAATAACTTTTTTTAATGAGCTTCACAATACAACAACAACATCCTTTTAATGAGCTTCACAATGCAAGATAATATTTTAAATGGTTCCCAAAGGGTTATATTATGATCAAGGTGTAATATAATTATTTTCATTAAACTTTCATCAATATTTCATGTTATTAAGTGGAAAATCCAAGCATAATTGAACCTTCTAGTAGGAAAGAAATTTAGCATTTTCTCTCTCCACAAAATATTGTGCCTCCCCTCTTTTGAATAACATTCCCAAGCATCAGAATTTTGGCCAAGGGGGGCTTCCTGTCTCTCCTTCATTGGTGGTCCCTCATGAAATAAGAAATAATTTGAAATGTTAGATGGGCGAAGTTATTGCTTGAATCAAGAAGGGTCCAGAAATGATGACTATTCAAAATTGAAATTAAAAAAAAAATTCTCTCCCTTAAAATTAAATTAAGGAGTTATGCCAATAAAGCATTATTGAAGGCAATTTTGCTGTTCAAATTAATTAGCACTCTCCCTTAAAATGTTGTTTAAATTAAAGAGTTATGCCAATGATGAATTATTGGAGGCAATTTCAAATTTCAAATTACATAATACTCGCTTCTTTAAAGCAAAGTTTAAATTAAGGAAGAGATACATCAATTAAGCATTATTAGAGGTAATTTCAAAATTCAAACTAAACAACATTGTCTCCTTGAAGCAAGGTATAAATAAGGAGGTCTTATACATATGAGGCATTATTGAGGATAATTTCAAATTTTAAATTTATAGAAGATATGATCGCCTCTATGAAGAAATTTATTAAATTATTTTGTTCTTGTAATTACTATGTAATATTTATAAATATGTGATGATATTATTATAATAAAAAATTAAGTTAGATGAGATGATGTAGAATGTTTAGGCATTTTTGGATATAGATCATGGATGCAAGTTTCAAGTCATCGTATATATGAAAAAGAGAGGGTCTATTAATATATTTTTTTAATGAGATTCATAATGAGTGATAATATTTTAAATGGTTCCCAAAGGGTTAGATTATGATCAAGGTGTAATATAATTATTTTCATTAAAATTTCATCAAGATTGCACGTCATTAAGTGGAAAATCCAAGCATGATTGAGCATTCTAGTAGGAAAGATATTCAGCATTTTCTCTCTCCACAAATTGTCATGCCTTCCCTCTTTGGAATGACATTCCAAAACATGAGAATTTTGGCTTCCTAACTCTCCTTCATTGGTGGTCTCTCATGAAATATGAATTAGTTTGAAATTTTACATGGAGGATTGCTTGAATCAAGAAGGGTCCATAAATGATGGATTTTCAAATTTGAAATTAAACAATATTCTCTCCCTTAAAAATAAGGTTTAAATTAAAGAGTTATGCCAATGAAGCATCATTGGAGGCAATTTCAAAGTTCAAATTAATAAGCACTCTCTCTTAAAATGATGTTTAAATTAAAGAGTTTTGTCAATGATACATTATTGGAGGCAATTTCAAATTTCAAATTAAAAAAACACTCTCCCTCAAAGCAATGTTTAAATTAAGGAAGAGGTACATCAATTAAGCATTATTGGAAGTAATTTTAAAATTCAAACTAAACAACACTCTCTCCTTTAAGCAAGGTATAAATTAAACAGTTCTTATACTAATGAAGTATTATTGAGGATAATTTTAAATTTACAGAAGATATGATAACCCCTATAAAAAATTTATTAAATTATTTTCTTCTTGTAATTACTATGTCATAGTTATGAATGATATTATTATAATAAAAAAATAAGCTTAGATGAGATGATGTAGAATGTTTAGGCATTGTTTTAGGTAGGCCTCGGTGGCTCTTTCTTTAACGGAAAATTTGGTGAATTGCCCATAAAATATTATGTTTTTTCAATCATGAATGAGGCATGCAATTTTATTATGGTATTATCTTCACTCCACGCCAGTCCATTTCCTACATGTTCAGGCTTAGCTTCCATCCATTATTCCGCTATGGCTAAGATCTACTTTTAGTATGTCTTTACACCTTCATCCCTGACTAGAAGGGAGGCTTATTTTGGGAGGTTCACTTATAACATTCCATTTTGATTTACAATTTGAAACACAATATATGTGACTGAAACTAGAAGAACTTTGAATAAGATATTGGAATATATATATAGGGGTTATTTTGAGAGGTTCACTTATCATGTCCTATTTCGATTTACAATTTTGAAACGCAATATATATGAAAAACTAGAAAAATTTGATTAAGATAAGAGAAACTACAGTGATATTGCTGACCATTGTTTACTGGAGCGATGCTAAAGTTCACCGGAATTTTTGAAGGAGTAAATTTATAATCAATTTAATGTTATTTTTTGGTACTTAATTGCTTCCATTTACTGACAGATGGATGCATATCGCATTGCTATTCAGTCTCATGTGGATTGCATTGAAATAGATGTCTCTCGATCCTTAGATGGAACATTGTTTGCTCTTCATGACAGGTGCACTCCTGAACTTTTACATTTTTTTTATTTGAATACAACCAATTGATTTTGCGATGTAAGCAAAAATATAGGGGGCCCTATATTTTTGCTTGACAAAATAATTGCTTTCCTAAATAACTAGGAAAGACACAAAACAATACAAATAGATAAAACAAACTTTAATATTATAAAATGAAAGACTTACAAACTTTGACTCAAACGACTCTTACAAGACACCCTAAAATTGCTTCACTTGAGAAGAGGGATACAGGTGGAGTGGCACTTGTGGAGAGACGAAAGAGGTTAGAAGCCCGAGAAGAAAGGGTGGAAAGAGCCCGCAGTATTTCCGGAGGAGATGAGAAAGAAGGGTGGAAAGAGCCCGCAGGATTTCCAAGCAAAAGCAAACCCGCAGGTTAACACTTTTCCAAAAATAACATTTCATTCAACTTCACTAACTTCAAACATTACAAATCATCTCATATATATAGGTATGAGAAGAGAATATGAAAAGACACTTTACATAAATATAACATATAAAACTAAGCATTAAAAAGCATAGGAATCTTCCCCCCATGCTCACGGAAATCAGCCCAATCCAAGAACCGAAGCAGCCACCGCAGGAAACAAGGAGGCCGAGCGGAATCGAGGAGCCACGGCCATGGGAAACACCCCGGGCTCAGAAGACCAGCAGCCGGCCGGAATCCCAAGGAGCAAAAGCACTTAAAAAAATTAAAAACAATGGTGGAAACCAAGGAGCCACCATGGGAAAAGCAAACAACTTCTTGGGATTCCAAAAACCCTTTTTGGAAACCCAAGAGACAACTTTAAGACATTAAAACTATAATAAAAATGCATTAAATAAAAAGTAAGATAATAAATGAACTAAAATGTTAGCTAATAATGAGCTAACCCCTAGTTCAATAAATGAACTAAAGACTAGCTCATAAATGAGCTAAAATTCTAACTCAATTTTTGTTGAGCTAGTAGACTCATGGGAAGTCAAAAATTTGAATTATTTTGGACTTGTGTTGACCTCCCCTTTGTCTACATCATTTTGTAGTCACGCTGAAACATTAAACTTCAAGCACTACCAAGAGTTTGATGTGGAAATTTCTGGGTGGTATTATTTATTTATTCTAATTTAATTTAATTTAATTTTTTTAATTTCTGGGAGGTCTTATGTGTTGGACGATGCCCAGTTTCGTGGAACATTAAATCAAAGAATTTGCTTGCGATTTTTTTTCTACATTGTGAAAATAATGTTGGCTTCTTAATTTGGCAACTCACTCTGACATTGTACTTAAAGTTTATGTACTACTGTTCCGGATATGTAAATTCTTAGTCTGGTAAATTCTTAGTCCGGATATATTCATAGTCATTACTAATAAATTTATGAGAGAAAATAAATGAGAAATTATGAGAGAAATATTTTTATTAAACTAATAAATTCTAGTTTTTTTTTAAGTTTAATTTATATTAATATTTTGTAAACAAGTTTTTTTTTTTTAAATATTTTGTAAACAAGTTGGCTCATAATCCAACCTGATTTGGGGTTGGCTCAAACTTTTGCCTCATTTTCTCATCATGACCATTTATCCGGATGAGCTTGAGTTGTCTCAGTCACATTCCTAATCTAGAGCTTGGCAATGTCAAAAAATATAACGCAATGATTTTAATCGTCTAGGAAATTCAATACCATCAACCTGGACGTTTAACCAGGAAAATAACTTTTTTGTTACATAATTGACATTGTTTCCTTCTAGTCAATAATCATATTCTCAAAGCTTGTTTGTTGGTTGGTAGCTAGATTGAAGGTTTTATATTTTTAGCTGTCAACCTGTATTTAAAAATCTTAATTATAAAGTATCACACTTCAAAATCATGTTAAAGCTGAGTTTTTTTTTTCCATATAATTGGGCCTAAACTATGGAGAGCTATAGTGTTCCAGGACCCAGCTAGTTTTAGTTAGCTCTGGAATTGTGAGTCACTTCTATTGGGACATGCAATGCAGATGTTTTTTTTCTTCCAATTTTTGCCTGATTTTCTCTGAAACTAATTGAAATTATATTTATGAAGTTGCTATGAAGCGACTTTGATTGTAAAGATCCAAATAGTCTTCTCAAGGGTCGATGGCTCTAAATCTCATCTCCAAAGTGGGAATTTGTGCATGCCAATATGATCTGATTGCAACTGGCCACTCATATGCATTTTCCTTCCTTGCTCATGGTCTTTACGAGGAGTTGGCTATAGTAGGATAATGGCTGCTATTGAAGAGTTTTTTAATTTCTGCCTAGATAGATTTGAAGGGGGAGAACCTTTTGGGGAAGCTGTTGGCCAAGTAATAGAAGAGGGAAGTGATGGAGACTAGGAGATAAGAAGAATGAAGAAAAGTCATGAGGAGCAGAGGGGGGATATCGTTATCATAATATCTAGTACATGATTTGTCCTGCATCCATGATTTGTCCTGCATCAGATTATCCAATTCCTTTTAAACCTTTTGGTGACCAAACAATTACTAAGCGAACTTTTCATGTATTATGAATTTCCTATGATTTCTTTCGTACTTGTTTCTGCAAACGTACCAAATTGTTAACTCTTACATGACAGGCAGGGATCTGCAGAGAATGTTAGGCAATAGTACTGCAAAAGTTGGCTTCATGAGCACAAACGAGGTTAGATGTTCTTGTTTAAGTGAATTCCAAGAATTTGATGTGCTTTGCTTCTGACTGTTGTTAATGGATTAAAGTTAATTATTTTTTTTCAAAAAATAATTTAGTTGAAGGCTTCATAAATAAAAAAGAAAATTTTCAAAATATTCTCGAGACTATTCGTGTATGACCACATTAGTTCAAGAGTATCATGTTGCCCCAATTTATTCACTCGACTATACGAACTTGATCCAGAATAATTCCTCATGTTGTAATTGTGATATAAAATTGATCCCAATTTAGTCTCAAATGGATCATTTTGAATCAATTTTGTATAGTCAAGGGACTAAATTAGAGTAAGATTATATTTGGGGATTAAAATGGCCATATACGAATAGTCGGGGGACTATTGTGAAATTTAATATACTTTAGTTTGTGGTGTAGATAAACAAACTCAAAGCAGAGTTCAAGTTGGGGCTAGGATCAAGTGAACATAAAATACCTACCATCCATGAAGCTTTAGCGGTAATTAACTCACCATTTCCCTCCAACTTTTCCTGGCACTCTCAAGTTGTTTAATTTCTGGCACAAACAGACCTTGAAGTACGCTTGAAGTTGATCTCTCCGTTTTTTTCTCCTTTCATTCAACATTCTCATTCAAAAGTCATTCCTTCATGTTTTACTTTAGTCATTATATTTCCTTTCACTCTTTAATGTAACATGGGAATATGTTTTCTTATAGTTTGTGTCGGGCTCAGTCAGGCAGGTGGTTCTTGATGTGAAAGTTGGGCCACCGTCATTTGAGAAAGACTTGGCCATGGATGTTTTGTCTGTGGTAAGTTAATGCTCCTCAGTTCAGTTGAGTTAAACAATTCTTGTATTTTTTATTTTATTGCAAAATCCCATCCAAATTTGGCTTAGTTAAACCAATACGCCAAGTTGTAATCAGGCTTATAAACGTGAACAGGGTAAATTTTAATCGTTGATGGATTTTATTTGCTACTTCCTCAGTAGCATTCGGGTTTTTAATATCAATTATTTTACTTTGCTGTGCTTTGAGGAAATTAGAACTTTAAAAAAGAACAAAACTACTGAAAACTTGCTCAGCAACTCCAATTTCCCTTGCTAACAGGTGCAGAGAAGTGGCTGCAAAAATTGTTTAATTTGGGCAAAAAGTGATGTTCTGGTACATAACATTATGAATTTAAAAGAAGATGCCAAGGTAACTTGATCTTTTTCTCCTTCACATTCATCATTTTCGTTTGATTTAGATTTGGTTGGTATAATTATCCTTTAACTATTTTTCCTAGCCTTTTGTGATTATCTTGCGTAATTTTGCTTCCATGACAGGTTGGTTACATTGTCTTGAAGGATTTTGTCACTGGTGCCACGAGTAATTTACTCAGGATGAAAAATGCAGTAGTAGTTGGGGTCTACCATCCTTTGATCGACAAGAGGCTTGTTCAGATCTTGCATGGGTAAGACCTTAATTACTGCTCCTGCATCCTTTGTTTTGTGACAGATATTCAAATTTGTTAATGAATTGGTCTCCACCTTAGCCAAGAAAGCTCAAATCCATCAATGTTATGGATTTGCATTTATTTTTGAGATAATTTGTTGTGAATTCACAACATCAGCATGCCAGATTTCTATTCCAAATAATAAAAAAAAAGAGGTCAATTAATGATAGCAAGGATTTGCTAACTGTTTTTTCCCCCCCAAAATCGAACAAACTTAGTCACCACTGCTCCATTAGTAGCATGGTTCCCGCCATCTACTTCACCATCCTTAGCCCTCCTTTTTACCGTAAATTTGTTTATAGTTTTTTGTTCTCTTGGATCCGTTGCAACAAATCTATTAAGGGCACGCAATTTAGGAAAGAAATGGCAGTAGCTCCTCATATTTATTGGAGGATGTTGTTCATCTAAATGAGGTTTATTTTGCAATACTTGATAATTCGGATGATAAAGTTGTCTCTGCATTTGCTATCAGGTAGGATATTCCTTGCGATTGACATATCTTGAAAAACGTCTTGGACTGCATGTTCAATACGAATCATTGAATTCTTTGATAGATTCTACATCTATGGCTCTTCATTTCACAGAAAATTTTGGATGGTCTAATTCCAATATCTTTCAAGCAAATGCTAAAAGTGACATGGCTGAGGATATTGTTTTTATCTTAATGATGCTCAGTGTCAATCCAAAGATGTGCTATCTTATGCATAGTCTTGAAAGTAATTGATGCGGACATCCGATGGTGGATGATATTTAATGGAAGAGTTGAAAATCGACGGCCAAGATCACTTCGTTTTATTTTAATTTATTAATTGTATTTTGATTTAATTTTGCAATTTTCCTTTTTTATCCTTTTTATTTAAGAGTCTTGTCTTATGTAAGCCCAAGGGGTAAATTTGTCTTTTAGTTTCTTTTGAGGCCTATATATAGAGGCCCCTTATCTTGTATTAAGTATGATGAAATTATAATAAAAATTTGTGTTCTGCACTTGTGCTCTTTTGGGAGGACGTTAGTGAGATTCCATCAGATTCCTATGGGAAGTAATCGAAGTTTTCACCAGCCGTAGGATGGGTCCGGGCTCGTGGCTTGAAGCCCCTTTGAGAAGGACAACTTATCACCTGTCAGTCTTCGGAAGAGTCCAAGGCTCGCGGTTTTGTTTTCTTTTTTTTCATTATTATTCTCCTTATTTTCCTAACCACTACTTCCCCATCTCTCTTTCTCCTATTGGCCGAAAACTCCACCCAAATTGTAGGCCAAAAGACACCCAACCGTCGGCCCAATCCCCTTCCCAAAGCCGCCAGCCATCATCCATCCCTGGGCTCCAAGATTCAAAATCTAGCATTAGCTCCCTTTAATTTTGGAAACAATTTAAATTCATATTCAATTGAATTTGAATTTGAATTTTATTTCATAAATGAGGAAATCTTCTTTAGTGAAGTCCCTCAAATTATGCAATTTTAAATTTTAAATAGGAGTTGAATTAACTCTACTTTCTTATTTTTAGATTCTAAATATAGCCACCTTTGACCCCTCATATCAATCACCCATAATCCTAGCTGCCGGCCCTACCCCCCTTCCTATTTCCTCTTTTCCTCCACTTTTCAAATTGATTATTGAAGCCATTCCTTATTCAATGCATCTTAAGTTTGAAAAGTTTTTAAATTCGAATTTAAATTAATTTGAATTTGAAATTCTTTCTTAAAATAGGATGAATTATATTAAGAGGCTTTCCTTAATTCTCTCAATTTGAATTTAATTAAAGACCTGTCATAATTCCCTTACCTTATCTTAATAATTCAAGTTGTGAAATTCCTTAAGTCTACATTCATCGTATGTGCACACATTCAACGTATGTGGATGCCTTCCCTTTTTCCCCTCTTTTGGCCGATCCCCTACGTTCTACATTAGTAATAATTATTATCGATTCAAGGCCAATCATCTATAGGATATTGGTTGATGTTCTTCATGGTAGAATTTGTGCATGCCTCCAACTATAATTGTCTCAAAGCACTAATCAAGTTCTATTACTTCCTATTAATTAAGATGTTCTATTTCAACTTTATTTTGATCTAGTACACAAGATGGGTTTATTTGTGAAATTAGGGTTGAATGGATGGCCACCATCTCCCATTGGATTGACTTGAGGAGTTCACCCAAGACAAAGTCATTTTAGTGGGGGAGTAATATTTTGAATTCACAGCATCAACATGTCAGGCTACTACTCCAAATAAAGAAATAGAGGACAATTAATGACAAAAAGGATTAGAGGTAAAGTTTAGGAACAACTGGATAAGATTAGAGAGAGTCGGCTTAGATGGTTTGGTCACATAAAATGATGGCCTTCTGATGACCCGGTTAGAAAAGTAGATGTATTAGATTTGACTTATGTTAAGAAAGGTAGAGGTAGACCTAAAAAGACTTGGTTAGAAATATTAGAAATGATCTTTCTTTATTAGGTTTAATTAATAATTTGACTTTTAACCAGACACAATGATGAAAAAGGATTCATGTAACCGACCCTACATAGTGGGATAAAGACTTAATGTTGTTGTTGTAATTTCTGAAACCCTAAATTCAAAAATAATGATGACATTTGATGTGATCTATATAATGAAGTAATAAAATGTTTATATATATATATATATAGTCTTCTTTCCTATGAGATTTAAATTCTGGATCTGGAATTGTAGGTTGTAATTAATTGAAGAGTTTTGAGTTGAAACAGGAGCAGGAAGAAAGTCTATGCCTGGACTGTTGACGATGCTGATTCAATGAGGAGGTTGTTATTAGAACAAGTGGATGCCATAGTCACAGGCCATCCATCTCTTCTACAGAATGTCATGCAGGAGCTGGAAACAGAATGCTTTGCAGAGGGCTTCTCCTTACCTTGAAAGTCCCTGGTTTGGCTTGCTTTTCCTTTTTTTAAACAGTTCCAGTTAAGGTGTTGCTGTTTTACCAAATAGGTCATAAATTTGTATTACTTATTTATGTGATAGGTATGAATCTTTATATACTTAGTCATAATAATATATTATGTTGTAAGCATGACAATTAGAGAGGAATTAAAGAGGTTTTCCCACTAACGGAATCAAAAGGAATTAATTAACATTAAATATATTTTAAGATTTGCGAAATGATTTTTGGTTGATGTTGTGCGGTGTCATTTTATATGTTAAGCCTTCATTTGCGGTAGTTTTTTTGTTGCTTTATAAAACTGTTTTTTAGTAAAAAAATTTCTAGTTCTAAAAATTTTTGTATGAAGAAGTTGTTTTTGAAGTCAATAAAAAAGTTGTCCCATGTGAAGCCTAAGTGAAAAAAGAAGAGAGGGATTAGTGTAAAAAGATGAGTAGTATAAGAAAGCTTCATGTGTTCACAAAATTCTCTCTCCCCCTCATTTTTAATAACTGAATTATTTAGAACTAGGCTGGTTTCATCAATCTTAACAAATTTCTCATCAAGCAAGAGGTAAATTGTGATATTTTGCTTCCCTTCTGATGCACAAGTTGGCTTTTGTATTAGCTTGTTATATTCTTCATATATTGATTATTACATAGGATGGATATTATTTTATTCTATCAAATGCAGTATGGTTTAATAGAACCTGCATTAGAAAAAAGTTTAGGCTTTGTTTGAGATGACTTTTTAACTGTTTTTTATTGCTTTATAAAATAGTTTTTTTAGTATAAAAATTTCTAGACAAATTTCTTGAACTATGAAAAGTTGTTTTTGAAAGTATTAAAAAGCTATTTTGAACAAAGCCTTAAAAGGCAACTGAGAGGACTCTGTAAAGCGATATGTTATTGTGTACGCAATCCGAACGTAGAATAAGATTCGGATGTTGCATATTTATTGTTTATTTTATTGCGTATTTTTTGATACATAATTTTTTATGGCAAATAAGCAACAAAATAAATAATACTCACTAAATAGTCACTAAATACACAATAAATATGCAAAAAAAAAGAACGTATAAAAAATTATGTATAAAAAAATATTCAGCAAAATAAGCAGTAAATACGCAACATTCAAATCTTACTCTGCGTTCGGATTGCGTAAACAATAATTTCTCCTGTAGAGCAGCTTGAAAAAAGTATCAAAATGCTAATGCGAGTTGGAAATCATATGCTATGTGATAGTTATTAGTTTTGGTTATTTATAAGTGTTTATTGACCTCATCTTGTTGTAGAGACTAATGTAGTTGTTGAAGTCTTATCACTGTTGAACTTCATTGAAATATTTATTTACATACATATCTTTAGTTTAAATATCACATTTTGGATTGGAATTTTCTTTTTTTTGGGGGGTTAATTTTATATGGAGTTATGGAAACTTCTTTTTGAGAACTTAATGATACACTGTGCCATTTATAAATTCAGAAAATTAAGGAGAGATTTGTTATGAATGTAAGATCTATACAGTCCATTATAGAAGCATATGGATCACTATCATAGAATACAACAAAAAAGAAGTCAACAGCTTCATGAGATGAATATAAGAAGACGTTTATTGTCACTCAAAATTATTGAAAGAGCGATCTATTATTATTATTTTTTATTTTTTTGAAAGAATAATCTATGATCAAAGGAATCAGTACAAGATATTTGATGTAATATTTTAAAATTTTGTTGCATTTATGAATTCAGGATCCCTAGTCTGTGATTTTGATGATGATAAATTTTATTGATTGAACTGTTGATTTTCTCACTAAATATTTTAGATATTTCTTTTGTCTGTGAGCACTAAAATTTCATGTAAGATATACAAAGCTCAAGACTGTTGAAGACTCAATATTGGGTAGAATAAGATGTAAAAGAGTCTGTAATTTTATTTCCTTATTTTTTACTTATTGAGACTGATCACATAAGAGTGTATGTAATTTGGATGATCATGCACACATATAGAGGAGAGAAAATTTTTAAGTTAATTTTTTTAAACAAATCGTATTGTACGATTTTCAATAATAATGTATGATATGTTATCTATAAATAGGCTTAATGGCTAATTGGTAAAATTAGTTTCAGTGAACTAATTGTATTATACGATCATGATCGTACAATATGATTTGTTACGATCTGAAAACTCTAGCCATTAGATTAATTTAAGTAAGATTTTGAAATATGATTTTTTAACTGTTCATACTATACGATATGAATCGTACTGTACGATATGAATTACACTGTAAGAACATTTGAAATCTTGTTAAAATGAACACTCGTAATTAGTCAATCAAATCATAATTTAATGAATGATATCTGATTGTACTATACGATATTGATCATACCATATGATTAACAAAAACGAAATCTGGCTGTCCTAGAGATCATATCAAACGAAAACATAATTTTTGAACTAATTGTATTGTATGATATTTATATTTTATTGGATGACCTACTTTAAATGAACTAATTGAATTGTACGAGACGATTAACAAAGATGAATTTCTATCGTCCCAAGAATCGTCCCGTACGAATAGAGGAAATTGAATTGATCGTACTAGATGATCTATTGATCGTACTGAACGATGTGTTCATAAAATTTGAACATTTCATTTTGAACGACTGTTCACATCTTATTGAATGAGACTAGTTTTAAACTGATCGTATTGTACGTAATAGAATCATATTGTACGAACTGTATCAGCTACATTGAATTTTTAGGGTTTCTTGAAGCCTATTGTAAATGCTTTTATTTTTAAAGTTTTTTTGTGAATCAAGGGAGGAACGTGTGACTCAAGGAGGAACTTTGAAATAAAAGATTTTGAGAAGAAAATCAGGATTTGAGAGATGAAGGAGAAGGTGAGCTTGAGTGTGAGGGAGAAGTAGTGTGAGGAGATCACATGGTTGCTCCGGGCTAGCTATACCCTTGCTTCTCCTTTGGCCTTGGTGAGTCTTTTGGAAGCTCTCTAAGGAGAGAGGCTTCTTAATCTAGTCCTTGATGTACTCTGCTTTCTCTAGGAGGGAGAGAAAGGAGCTAAGGTTCTCTGCCTTATCTAGGAGGGAGAAAAATGAATCACGGTCCGCTGCCATCACCGGGAGGGTGACGTAGCATCCAACACTTCGGCGCATCAAAGGTTTGGTGAAAGTGAGTTTGTAAAGGTTTCTCCATCTTGTAAAGGTTTCTCCGTCTTGCTTTAGAAGCAAAATGATAGTCACTTTGCTTTAGTGCAAATGCTCAGAGCAGAGGACTTCGGGGAGTGGACGTAGGTCATGGTTGACTGAACCACTATAAAAATCTTTGGTGTATTTTATCCATTTCACATTTTTACATTTCCAGCATTTCATTTTCATTTATAACTAATTAAGAAAATATTGATTATTGCTCCGTCACGTAGATCAAAATTTCATCATAGTAAATTTTATATTTTTATAAAGATCTCATGCTCTTGCAATCATTTAGATTTTGGTACTTTCAATAACTGAAAAGTCTTTCAAAAATATTATTATTATTATTTTGAAGTTAAGAAAATTTTTAAAGCACCAATTCACCCCCCCTCTTGGTGAGCCTTAGGTTAGTTGCACAAGGTTTAATAACCTTCACGAACTTTCAATCTTCACCAACTAGAGCTTATTAATCTCATCCAGATAATAAAAATAATGGAGAATATAAATACAATATTATTCATCCAATATTTACATGATGGCCCAAAATCTAAAATGATATATACAATAATCGTAATGTCTAGATAACTCACTAAAATATATCATGACTACAAAAAGACAAGTCATCATATGTAAGAAAAAAAAATTAAGCATGTTGCATAAATCAACTTCACTCCACTGGTTTCTTACCCTTACCTGAAAATATGTAAAAATCACATATTGAGCATAAAATTCCATCAAGTCACCCAGATTTGTAACTGAAATCAATGCACAAAATAGAAATATTGTGCAAGAAATCTTATTCATATAAACAATGATTCTTTCTATATTAAGTTAATCAATTGTATGATATATGTCATATTTCACGTTCATATCAATACAATATCAGTCTCACCACATTTCAATCATCAATCATATTTTTATTATCAATTAGTTAACCAATCATTAGTCTTATCTATCATTAGTCTTGCTCTCATCGATCTTATTAGACATTTGCATTATCTATCATTTGCATTATCTATTATCCATCTTGTTTGTTATCTGTCGCATTTATTATATGCCATGGGTCCCAATTATTATTTTCCATCGGTCTCATCTATAATCAATCTTATCTATCATCTGTCTCATATTTCTCATATTAATTTATTTTCTATCTTATCTAACTTTTATCTTAAGGTGGATATATTATAATAATTTGTATTTTGAATTTGCTAATTTTTTCATGCATTCATTATAACTCCAAATTGCAAATCATATTTACTATAATATTTTATTGTAATATTTTACTTGCATAATTTTTTTTGTAATTTTTGGATACCGGTGAAAATTCTTAAAAAATTAGAATCTATTGGTGCAAGTAAGGATTTTGGGACCATCAAGTGTCTGTTTTGTAAATCGTTTTTTATTTCAAATATTTTGTATTTTTGATATTTTTTGAACAAAGTTGTGTTTCTATTACTGAAATATATGAATAATTTTGTATTGATAAAACTTTCACCGCATAACTTTTTTATATGTTATAGATATCATGATTATGAACATTTTGAGTATTTATTTGAGATTTTTTATTAGGTGATTTGAAAAAAATACATTAATTTTTGTCTATCCCAAAATTTATTTTGAACTCTAAAAATAGTGTAGTATAATAAAAGTATTAAAACAACATTTTATACCATTCATGGTATTTTGATAATTTTCTAAAAATGTGTATTTTTTCCTAATATAATTTTTTGTTTTCTACAATTATAACATTTTGGCATCTTCTTACTTAAGCTCAATTATATTTTATTATTGTAATATATTATAAATGGGAGTGGACATGTGATTGAGTTATAGCTGGTCGTTATTACTATTATCGTATTGTGATATTAATGTGCATGTGTAAAACAAATAAGTAAAGACTGATTGACCTGTTGGTTGGAGACTGATTGACCTATACAGGATGGTGGGCCGATGAGCTTTCCTTTAAATATAGTGATTTAGTATTATCATCTACTAATTCACGTGATACATTGATAGAAAGTTATAAAGAGATTATTATTGTGCTGACAGAAAAAGAGTGACGACTCTATTTACTGAGCCAAAGTTTACTAATAGTGATACTAATATTTAAAAACACTGTGATAGCCATGACTTCTTACTTGTTTAGTGTGACTATTGAAATGGATGTTCTTAAGGCATTGTTCTTATTATTCTACTAATTTATTGCTACTGCACGGATTTATTGTTATTGTATTATTCTGCTGCTCCTACTACTGAATTGTTACTATTACTGATATAGATATGATACTATTTGATGCTACTGATTTACTGTATTGATATTAAGCATGTGATATACTGAGCACGTGATATAGAATACATAGATAGCATGTGTACATTCATATATGATTTTATTACATTGATTTGATTTTGATAGTCTTTATCGATATTTTGATTTGATGCTTTATATGATTTTTGTACTGATTGGTATTATGGATATATCAATTACTTTATAGATTTGACACTCGTACTGGTTTACAACTTTATTAGCTTTTTTATCATAGTGCTTTATTACTTACATATTCTACTGCTACTATATTTGAGATTTATTATTTATGCACTAATTTAATGATCATTAGATGCAACTATTGTTATTTGACTGTTGGCATGCATATTGCTCTTTTATCATGCTTTAATTTTAATTGTAGGTTTTCGTGACCTACTGGGCTTTTTAAGCTCATTATATGTGGTTAAAAGATTTCAGGTCAGGGTATGGGAGCAGGAGTGTAAGGATGGTCAGATTTCTTCAAGTTCTATTTCTTTACCTGTTCTTTTGAACTTAGGATAGAGTAGATATGTACTGATTGTATAGATCCAGAGTATTGTATTGAATTTTTTTGGAATGAATTTAAATATGTACATTAATTTTTTAAGGGATTTTTACATACATCACATCTTAAACAAAGCTATTTACTTATCTCACACCCAAACTTAAGTTTTTACACTTCTACCACTTAAATAGACGTATCATGTTCCCGTCTGCTCCGTCAAAACACGCCATCTGAGCCGCTAATATTTCCCGCGTGAAAGTTTGCTCCGACAACCATCGCCTGTTCGTCGCCTAGCCTCGCCTCGCCAGATCATGGTAGCCGCTGCGAAACTATGTTACAAGTGATAATGTAGGGATAAGCTTTTGGCATAGGGTTAAGGTAGGAGCTCTCCTTCAACGACACGTTCTTTAACGACGCATTTTTCTTCCGCGTGAAAGGCTCTCAGGTGCATAGTTTTGAAAATATAATCTTTCATTGTTCATCCACAATGTCAATACAGAGATGGATTTAAGATGGAGTCAAGTATAATATAAATTTATGTTGCTTAGAGAAGAAAAACGATTCGTTTTGGGTGCATCACTTTGAAAAAAAAAAATTCTGCATCAATTTGAAAAACTAATTTTTTATCCCAGGTTTATCATTTTGAAAGGCTCTTCGACAAAACTGTCGCTTTTAGGTGCTCTCTGACATCTAATATAGCATTCTTTGTATAACTAATATTTTCTGCGACAAACAGAGATGCATATTTCGGGTAATGGCGTCTACATTCTAATCCGTTTATTCCATTTTTTAGACTGTTACTAAATCACTATTTATTCACATAAACAAAGATGGATTTAAGTAATTTCTGCTTCATTATCTTAAAATTTGGTGGATATTGGATTGAAGTGCACGGTTAGAGTCAAACAAAGTATGTGGGTGGAAAGCTGAAAACCTTAAAGCTTCACAGAGATGAAATCAATTTAATGTTGCTAAAAGAAGGAGTTCAAGCACTTTGTCATTGGATTCGGGGTCAACCATTCGACTTACACTATCATGTTAACGGGACGTCACCGAAAAATTATAAATTGATTTCAACTGATGCAGATGTAGATGACATGCTTAGCATTTCTTATGAAAGGAATAGTATTGAGGTGACGGTTGCAATGAAATATCAAGAAGAAGATATCTCCCAATCTCAAAACAATCAAATTGATGTAGACAAACAGTTTACTGAAATGCATCAATTTAGCTCAATGATTGGAGAAGATAATGATATTGTTGTAGATGATATGTGCGATGATTTCTTTATACCCCAAATTGATGAGGCAAACAGTCTATGTGTTGGTTCACGGTTTGAAAATGCCCAGAGTTTGAAGCAAGCAGTACGGTCTGATGCAATTTTTTAGAATTGTGCTATAAAGATTAAGGAGAGTGACAAATCTAGAGTTATAGTTACTTGCACATACAGAGGTTTTTTATGAAGAGTACGTGCATCATTGTGTCGTGATGGTCACTCCTTCGAAGTTAGAAAAATGGAATCAACAGATTTATGCCCTGTGGTCAATAGAGCAGAAAATAAGCAAGCTACAACTAGTTGGGTGGCTCAAGAAATCAAGGACATTGTCAAGAGAAATCCTGATATCACACCGAAAGATATTAGCAATAACTTGGAGACAACTTACGGGTTATCATTGCCATATATGAAAATTTGGAGATCAAGAGAGTTAGCAAGAGATGTAATGTTTGGTTTTGTCGATGATAACTACACGTGGGTGCCTATGCTAAGGTCAGAGTTAATTAACAGGAATCCTAGATCTCACATTACATACATGTGTGAAAGCGAAGGAAATGCATTTAAGAGATTTTTTGTTAGCTTCAAAGTTTGTATTGAAGGTTTCATAGCTGGATGTAGATTCTTAATTTGATGTTTTCCACCTCAAATCGAAGTATCTTGGCGTATTGCTATCCGCAAATTGTTTGGATGGAAACAATGGTTTGTACACAATCGCATATGCTGTTTCTGAATCAGAATCTAAGAAATAATGGGAGTGGTTCATGAGGAACTTGTCTGAAAGTTTTGGCGGTGAAATTGAACATTTAGCCTTCATGTCCGACATGGAGAAGGGGCTTGGCAAAGCTATAAAATTTATTTTTCTAAATGTTGAGCATAGAGTGTGTATGAGACACTTGTGGAAGAATACTAAAAAAATGTTTCATTGTGAAGATGGCATCGGGCTTCAAAATTTGGTTTGGACGGCATCAAACACTTATATCCTAAATGTTTGGCATATGAAACTTGAGGAGATCTTCAAAATAAGTCCACAAGTATATGCGTACTTGAATTCTTTGTCACGTAAGTGGTCTAAGGCAACATTTTCAGAGCACATTAAAAATCATTCCAATACAAACAACATGTCAGAATCGTTTAATGCTTGGGTTGAAGAAGCTAGAAATAAGCCAGTCGTTGATTTGGTAGACATGATTAGGGCCAAGATTATGGAACAACGATCTCAAAGAAATGTAATTTCCTCCTCTTGGAGAGGTCAACTAGTTCCTCATGTGGAAGAGTACATCAGGGACATCACAACGAGGAAAGAGCATTTTATAATTCATCAGTCAACGTTGACTAGAGCTGAAGTTGAGGGTCTTCATGAAAGGCATGCGGTCGACCTAGAAAAGAAGGATTGTACATGTGAACTTTGGCAATTAAGTGGTCTACCTTGTCTACACAGTGCTGTATACATTGGTACTACACAACATTCTTTATGGTATACATGTTGATGATCACTACCATGTGTATAGGTATATTGATAAAGCCTTGTACACTTCCTCTTTATTTGTCATGTTGGTTATCTAATTTTTTTCTTAAATTATTAGGTACAAATTGGCATATGAGGGCGCAATATCGACCATACCTGGTAAGGAGATGTGGGTTGCAATTAGTGATGGGGAGGTTGTTACAACGCCACTTTCACTAAGACCACGTGGTAGACCCAAAAAAAGGCGAATAAAGAATTTCTTAGAAACAGGGAAGAAAATGAAACTTGGACACAGGTGTAGTCGTTGTAATTTAAGCGGCCATCATAGAAGTACCTGTAAAAATCCATTAAATGGGGAAGGTGACGAGATTGGATATACGTCGTCCACAATATAGTTCTGATTTCACGTTGGATCACAGCAATACAAATTTTTGGATTTTGCTTTGTGTTGGATTAGACCAACATTTAGTTCTGCTTTTATTGGATATCGATTTTGTGCTCTATTTTTTTTTTTGTCTTTTGAATGGATAGCAATATTAAGAGCAATACGGCTTTTGTGCTATGTTTTTTTGTCTTTTGAATGGATAGCAATATTAAGAGCAATACATATTTTGTGCTCTATTTTTTGTCTTCTGAATGGATCCCATACATTTCTGTTGAATTACATATGCAATAGAACTTAAACTAGTATGAATGAGAGGATGATATAGAATTAAAACATGAATATAACTTACAATTCACAACAGAAGTTCTACTTTTATATTTAATAACAAAATCAAGTACATTAGAGTTTCTTTGTAACATTCAAAGTTACATTCATTTGCAATTACAAGTCTTCGATAGCGAATTGACGACAACAACAGCAACAAGTAAAATAAGGATAACCAATAAGAATTTAATTTGAAGCAACTCATATGTAACTGAAACTGCATGCTTGGAATGATCTTCTGATGTTTTTCCACTACTTAAGTGATTCATATCTTCTAGTTTATCATTTTCTTCATCAATCCACTTAAAATATATACAATCATCTTCCGATCTATTTTGGGGGCAGCTATAGAATTTTCTTCCGAGATTATTAGCTTTGTAGCAAGTATAGATTTGACATTACAGATTACAACGACAATAGATTGCATTGTTTAGGCTTCTCGTTGAGGGAGTCGAGCGGCTCGAACTCATGTTCGATATTCCAAATAACTGCAATAACAAAACAAATAGAAATATGTATTCAACATCTAATATGCGCTGATATGTATTCAACGGATATTCCAACTCGAATATGTAAAAATTTGGGAAGAAAATCTGAGCAACATCCACAATGTCAATACATATATGCATTTGGTTTTCATTCAACATTTGAAAATCTAATTGAATACAAATAAAATTTTGAAAATCTAATCTTTCATCCACATTGTCAATACAGATATTCGCTGGTTTTCATTCAGCCATCCCTCAACATCAAATAAAAAATTAAGGATTAAATATCAAAATCTATCATTCTGCTTTGGGCGCAAAGCTTCATTCAAGACCTTCTTCCCAGAAGGCGGTGAGATGTGGATGCGAGAGGGTAAGAATCCCGGATCAGGCAAAAATATGAAAAGTTCGTTCTAATGTACAAGAAAACATCAAGAGGAGGCTAAACAACATTTTGTTCTCGAAGATGAAAAAGAAACGGTAAAATGGAGAGGAAAATACCTAGCCGAGCAAGGGAGACGAACTGAAGGCGAATCAGAACCTCTTCTCGCAACCTCTTGTTCTCGAAGATGAAAAAGAAACGGTAAAATGGATAAGAGAATACCTAGTCGAGCGAGCGAGGGAGACGAACAAAAGGCGAAGCAGAACCTCTCGTCGAGACGTGTTTTGACAGAGCAAACGGGAACGTGATACATCTATTGAAGTGGTAGAAGTGTAAAAACTTAAGTTTGGGTGTGAGATAAGTAAATAGCTATGTTTAAGATGTTATGTATGTAAAAATCCCTTTTTTCATTATAGAATAAGTTTTACTGTTTATTATGTATAGATGATATTAGATATCTATGATTGTAGTTTACTAAAAGATAAGAATAATTCTTCTAATTTTTATTCTATGGCATCACATATTTAATCATCTGTCATAGATCATTTATTATCAATCTTATTTATCATTGATCTTAACTATTATTTATATTATATATCATATGTCTTACTATCATATATCTAATCTATCTTATATCTCATATATCATCATCTATAAGTCATCCATCGTTAGTCTCCACTCATTAAACATCTTATTACTCATCTACCTCATATATTATATCTCCATCATATTAGTATCAATCTCACTTGTCTCATTTAGCACATCAATTCATTCACATTGCATGTTCTTACACACATTTCATATGTTGTATACTATTACTTATATATATATATATATATAGAGAGAGAGAGAGAGAGAGAGAGAGAGAGAGTGAGAGTGAAATTTCAATATAAATCAGAAAAAACATTCAGAATATTGATATCTATCAAAAGTTGCATGATAAAAATTCACTGAAATAAGAATTATTGCATTTTTATCAATTTCAGGAGGGAGAAAATGGAGTAAACTCAAAATCATTGATATATCTATATATAGTAGAGATCATTTACAATGATCCGAGTAAATTTTGTAACAAGACTGATGATGAAGCCATGGAAGAACTTCTCACTCCTCTTTTTCTCCTCTTCTTTGTCCCTTCTCTTCTCCCTTTCTCTCATTTCTTCCCTATCAAGCAAATGAAATGGAGGGGAGGTTTAGGTGGTGAGGGATATTTTTATTAAATATATATGCAAATATTATTTAGTACTTGACGTCGCGGTGCTAGAGACCATAGTATCATAGCACTATCTACTGAATTTAGAGTTATTGCATTGTTGTGATCGCAAAACCCAATGACATTGTACTATAATTTAAATTTTTATAATTTTAAATAAATTCATTTTAAGAAAAATTAGATTATTACATTCTACACATCTTAAGAAAAAAATTGAAAAACACTGTGATAGTCAGGACTTCTTATTTGTTTAGTGTGACTATTGAAATACATGTTCTTGAGGCATTGTTCTTATTATTATACGAATTTATTGCTAATATATGGATTTACTGTTATTATATTATTCTACTGCTCATACTATTGAATTGTTACTATTACTGATATAAATATGATAATATTTGATACTACTGATTCACTGTACTGATATTAAGCATGTGATATACTGAGCATGTGATATAGAATACCTGTATAGCATGTGTACATTCTTATATAATTTTATTACATTGATTTGATTTTGATTGTCTTTATCGATATTTTGTTTGATACTTTATATGATTTTTGTACTGATTAGTATTATGGATATATCAATTACTTTATAGATTTGACACTCGTACTGGTTTACAACTTCACTAGCTTTCATACCGTAGTGCTTTATTACTTACATATTCTAATGCTATTACATTTGAGATTTATTATTTATGCACTGATTCAATGATCATTAGATGCAACTATTTTGACTGTTGACATGCATATTGCTCTTTTGTCGTGCTTTAATTTTAATTGTAGGTTTTGGTGATCTACTAGGCTTTTTAAGCTCATTATATGTGATTAAATAATTTTAGGTCAAGGTAGGGGAGTAGGAGTGTAAGAATGGTCAGGTTTCTTCAGGTTTTATTTCTTTAGCTGTTCTTTTGTACTTAGGATATAGTAGATATATGATGATTGTATAGATTCAAAGTATTGTATATGATTTTTGGGAATGAATATAGATATGCACATTAATTTTTTGAATTATAGAATATATTTCGCTGTTTATTACATATAGATGATATTAGATTGCTATGATTGTTGTTTACTAAAAGATAAGAATAGTTCTTCTAATTTAGATTCTATAGCATCACATATTTAATCATCTATCATTTATTATCAATCTTATTTATCATTGGTCTTATCTATTATTTATCTCATATATCATATGTCTTATTATCATATATCTAGTCTATCTTATATCTCATATATTATCATCTATAAGTCATCCATCGTTAGTCTCCACTCATTAAACATCTTATTACTCATCTATCTCATATATCATATCTCCATCATATCAGTATCAATCTCACTTGTCTCATTTAGCACATCAATTCATTCACATTGCATGTTCTTGCAAGCATTTCATATATTGTATATCATAATAACAAACATAATATACATATTATTATAACATATATATCTATTAAGTGGGCTCATCAATATGCATGCATAACGCAAAAATATATGTCTTGCCAAATGAACAGTAACCATATGCATGCAATATTTTTACACATAATATTTCTCTTCCTATTTTAAATATATATATAGTGAAATTTCAATATAAATCAGTCAAAACATTCAAAATATTGATATCTATCAGATATCAAAAGTTGCATGATAAAATTTCACTGAAATGAGAATTATTGCATTTTTATCAGTTTCAGGAGGGAGAAACTGGAGTAAACTCAAAATCATTGATATATATAGTAGAGATCATTTACAATGATTCAATTAATTTTTGTAACAAGACTGATAACGAAGCCATGAAAGAACTTCTCACTCCTCTCTTTCTCCTCTTCTTTGTCCCTTCTCTTCACCCTTTCTCTCATTTCTTCCTTAGCAAGCAAATGAAATGGAGGGGAGGTCTAGGTGGTGAGGGATATTTTTATTAAATATATATATACAAATATTATTTAGTACTTGACGTGGCGCCAGAGACCATAGTATCGTAGCACTACCTACTGAATCTAGAATTATTGCATTGTTGTGCTCGCATAACCCAGTGACGTTGTACTGTAATTTAAATTTTCATAATTTTAAATAAATTCATTTTAAAAAAAATTAGGTTATTACATTCTACTCATCTTAAAAAAAATGTTATCATCAACATTTCCATTTCAAAATAGCAACGAATAGAACATATTTGATCATCAGTTACATCAATCATAACAATCTTATTATGTATTCGTTCTTTGACAGTTATGCATATGTAATACATACTAAAATTGCAACTAGTTTCACCTATTCTGACCCAGTCTAATAAGAGTAGCATACTAAAATTTATGTATTTATTTCTTATGCATGTTTCTCTGAGTGTTTTTTATGTATGTGATGTTTGAATCTATTATGAATCAGGTCTCAGGAGTCTGTATACATAATTTGAAAATTTTGAATTTTCCCTAGGGGCACCATTGCGTCGAGGTAGGTGACGCTGTAGCATTGAGCTCTTTATCTTTTTATCAAATTAATTCAAAACTGTGGCACTTGGGCGACGTTGTTGTGTTGTGCTCCCTTATGGAGAGTGTTGCGGCACTATAGGGCCAAGTGCCACATCTCTAAGTTCTAATTTTATAAAA